CGAAGACATGTTGGCGGGAGGGGCTGGACTTGGGCCTTCGAAGGGAGGTGACGTGTGGCAGGGGAAAGTGGGAGGTTTCCCCACCTAGGACCTTCCTGAGCAGCGTATGCAGGGACGAATGTGCGCGGGGATGGGCGTGCTTGGGGGAGGCCGGACCGTGCGCAGACTGGCTTGGCTGAGTGGACGAGGGTTTCATTTACAAACACCTTTGATCTTGGGTGGAGAGGTAGTTTGCAGGCAGCCTGAGGGTTTATATTTTATCCTCTCAAAAATGTGCTGTGTTTATCTGGAGGATTTTTGAGACGGTGGGAGGTGTGAAGTGATGGGCGTCATGTTTTGGGAAGCTCACTCTGGCATCCGTGAGCATGATGGGTTGAGCACAAGAGAATGCAGGGAGATAGGATGGGGTACATTGGGGCCAAAAAATGCCCCCAGAGCCTGTTGGGGGGCGGCCGTGATGGGACAGAATTGGCATGGCCTGCAGTGCTGGGCTGCGGACCAGGGAGAGGGAGGAAGGTGCTGCCAGCCCCCAGGGCCAGTGGCCGTGGTATGGTCAGAGATGGAGACTTCTGGAAGGGAGCAGGTTTGGCAGGGGCCCTTTCCAGAGGCTGATCTACTTATCTGGTCTTATTGGGGGAGCATCTGAGTGAAATCCCAGACTCTCCATTTTGTTTTTCCAAAAACCCCTGTTTATTTTCATCCCTCCCTGGTCCCTTCCCCAGAGCCACATGTTCCAGGCCCTCTCCAGCAAGAGGGGTTCATTCCCTCTGGTCCCGAGCCCCGTGGGCTTCCTAGGACCCCGTGGGCGTCTCCGGAGCCCGAGCTGCACCTGCCCCACTCCCGCTGCTGCAGGGACCTTCCGCACACACATCTGGGCAGAGTTATTGACGTCGGTCTCCTTTCATCATCCTCACCTAGAGAATTTTGTGCGTTTCAGTCCTGCCACCTCAAGAGAGATATACAGAGATGGAAGAGCTCCAGGGAAGGGCAGCTAAATCGATGAAGGGGAAGGCAAGGCAGCCAAGTGAGGACAGACAAGAGAGCTTACGGCTCTCCAGGCTGGAGAGCCAAGCTGAGCGGGGTGTGATTAAAGCTATGAAGTCACGCCGCAGGGTGGGGCAGGATGCGCATCGCCCCAGCGGGGGTGGGCGGGGGTGGGGAGACACACATCAGAAACTTTAGAAAGGTTCGTGAAGCATAGACAAGAAAGCACCATTTTCCATGCTGAGTTCCCTTCTCACCCGGCCTGTCACCCTAGGCCTGGATGTAGAGGTTGAAAACAGAAAAAAACTGCGAAAGAGGTTTACTTAAATACGACCTGGATCTTCTCTACATAATGGCTTTTTCAAGGGAGGCTCCAGCTCACCCTGAAATCCTTTGAGGTTGACTTCAAAGAGCACAGTCAGGCCCTCTTCCAGGTGGACAGGTGTCCCTGCTGGAAGCGGAACCCCGGATGGGCCGCCACTCACCAGGCATGCTAGTTCTTGCATCCATTTGTCACAGCTAGCAGGGGCCCCGACTGAGTGACCTCTAAGACTTCGCCACACCCTGAAGTTCTCTCCTCAGTCCTGAGTCCCTCTTCTCTCTCTCTCTCTCTCTCTCTCTCTCTTTCTTTCTTACACACACACACACACACACACACACACACACACGCTGGAGAGATCTCTGGGGAGGAGGGTGGGAAGGAAGCTCCCAGCCTCAGTGGTGAGAGAAATGGTGGCACCTAGAAGTCATACCCAAGCTGGGGTCAGACTTGCCAGAGTTGGCCCTCTTTGGCCTCTGGTCCTTCTGTCCCTTGACCCCACTGGTGGCCCTTTTGGCCACTCCACTAGGGAAAAGGAAATCGGAAGGGTCAAGGTCCTGTTTCCAAAGTCTTGGGGTCCGACTCCATTCACCCCAGGAAGGCTGAGCAGGGAGGCGTGTGGGCCTCTCTTGGGAGTGGGCATGGGGGACCTCTCTGGCTCTCCCTGCCTCAAGGCCACTTCCGGCCGATCAGAGCAGTGGGCTGCCAGGGGAAGGGGCTGCAGGAAAGCCTGGGGCAGAGGAGACTGGGGAGCCCGGGCCCAGTGCCAACGCTTAGGGGACAGGGCTGCCCCACTTACGTGGACGGTTTGGCTGTTTCCTGAAACGAGAGTCAACCTGGGAAAATCCAGGGCGTTGGCGGCGAGCTGAAGGGTCTGCGAGGGACTGGAGTGAACGGAGGGTGCGGGTGGAGGGGGATTGTTTGCGTGTTTTTGTTGACATCATTCTGGGGCATCTGAGCACATCTCTGCGGCTGGTGAGCGGGTGTCTCTGGGCCATGGTGAACCCCTTGTGTGTCTGTGCATGTGATTGCGTCTCTGTGTGTCTTTAATCAAGAGGCCATAGCTGGCCAGACGCCAGGGTCCCCGGCTGGCATAGAGCTGAGCGTTCCAAGTGCCTTAAAGGCACAATGGCGATGAGGGGGGAGGAGGGAGGGCAGGAAGGCTGGGGAGGGCGAGGTGAGGCCATCCCACATCTGCCAGCCTCTGGGCCTCCCCCCGCCGGAGCTCCCCTGGGGTCTGGGGGCAAAGACCCCTTTCAGCAGCAGCTCCTGGCACAGGAGGAGAGGGTGAGTCGGGTGCCCAGAGCCAGGCTAGAACGTGGCTCCGACCTCCAGGGCCTTGCAGTGGTAGACACAGGGTCCCAGGTCTCCCCCCTCCACACCTGGGCCCAGGTAAGCCTGCGCCCGGGGCTGTGCTGGAGAGCTGACCCGGGGCCCTGTCTCCCTTGTATCATTTCCCTCGCCTCTTAGCTTTCGTGTGCAGGTATCATACCTGTTAAACAGGCCTCAAAATCCCTTTCCTATTTGGAGCCCCGGCACTCTGCCCCACCTTGGAAGACAAGGCCTCCCTTCCTGAGGGAGGGTTGGAGTTCTGGGGTCCGGTCCAGACTTCCAGAAAAGGGGGAGGGGAAGGGGGCAGGGTGGGCAGCTGGGGGACTGGCTTTGGCCTGGACGGGTTCACTGCAGGAGGTTCCTTCTGGCTTTGCCTCTGGCCTTTCCCTGTGCTGGCTGCTGCCTGGGAAACAGCTGCAGCCTTTCCCTGGCCCTGCTCAGGCACATCAAAGCCTCCTTTTCCCTCCTTGGATCCCTTGGGATTTGAGGTTGGGCTTTCCCTGAGACTCAACCCAGAGGGGGTGGCTAGCTTTCAAATGCCTCTCCTGTACCTGGGTCATTTTGGAAGCTTTACCGCTTAGAAGGTGTGTGACCTGAGGCAGACCCTGGAGGCCTTTTCCTTGGAAAAGTGAGAGTACCGCCAACCCATCAGGATAATTGGGATAATTAAGTCGGTCACTTGTATAAGCATAGTTATGCCGAGTCCTCTGCTTAGCGCTGGGGAGCTGTCAGTGGAGTGGTTGGAAGGAAGAGAAATAAAAAGTTAAATAAGGCAAAGCTCACAGTCTAGGAGGGAGACACACAGTAAACAAATAATTAGGTAACATGTGAGGAGTGCTCCAATGAGATAGGGTGTGAAAGTGCTTTGTAAACAAATGTGGTATGCGGTGGGCTAGGGGATGTGAGTGAATGCTGGGGTGAACTGAAGGGCCAGGCTCCACAGGGGCTTTGGGGGTGTTGGGGGCAAGGCTGAGGGTTCCAAAGACCAGAGCCTGGCACAAATACCACCCGGGGTGGTGTGTGTGAGAGACAGACAGACAGACAGATTTTAAAATGTTCCTTAGAAGACAGAAGGTAGAATAGTGGTTGCAGGGGCTTGGGGGGGGGGGGGGGGGATTTTGTTTAATGGGTACAAGAGTCTCAGTTCGGGATGATGAAAAGTTTTCAAGACGGACAGTGTTAATGGTTGTACAACAGTGTGAATGTACTTAATTTCATTGAATTGTACACTTGAAAATGGGTAAAATGGTGGGTTTTATGTTGCATATATTTTACCAAAACTTTTTTTTGTTTTAAAAAAATGGTCCCTAGAAAAAGTCCCCGGTTCGCGCCCCCGTCCTCAGCCCAGGGCTTTTTTCAACAACAGCACCATCCACGTTTGGGGCTGCATAATTTTTGTGGTGAGGGCTGTCCCCTACCCACCAGAAGCCACTGTCTGTCCCCCCCAGCCCACAGTGTGGTGACCAAAAGCGTCTCAGACACATTGCCAAATGTCCTCTGCGGGGCAAAATTGCCCCCAGCTGAGAACCACTGCCTTCACTGCTTGGAATGAGCTGCTCGCAGGAGGGGCCCGAGGAGCAGGTGGGCAACAGAGAAGCAGGAGGCATTTCCCTGGGGTGGAGGGGTCTTGCCTGGAAGGAAGGCAAAGATCGGCAAACTCTGAGGGGCCCCGGGAGGTGGGCCCTGGGCGGGGTTAGGCGTACGGTGGGAACAGACTCTGCGTGATCCGTTGTGTCCACCACCCCAGGGAGGAGAAGTGAGGGGGCCCGTGGCTGCCGTTCCCATTCTGCCTCCACTCCCGCCCTCTTCCCGTACCCCACAGGTGAGAAGAAGGGGAGTGCAAACTGTCACCTCTAGCTGCTGGCGGTGCCTTCTACAGGGACCAGGGGCTTCTGCTGCTACCCCTCCCCGCCATGGGAACAATGAGTGTCTCAGGGTGTGCCGTGTCTCCTTTCAAGGCAACTGTAAAGAATAAAAGCAAACAGAAACAGGATTTTTAACAGTTACACTTGACATGAACAAAGTTGAAACTCCCTCTAGACGTGTGAACTGGATGCTCTCACTCGTAACCTGGTCTTTGGCATTAAGGGATCAATTATGACTACTGAACACCCGCCAGGTACCCTACTCCACACCCAGTCTAACGTGATAAAGCGAGTCCCTGCCTCTAGGAGGTGACAAGCTAGTGGGGGGTGGGGGGAAAGGAGGGCACAGGCCTGGCTGGGGTGGCCACTCCTAGTGGCTTCCAGGTCTGCTCTTCTCACCTGAGATGCCCTTTTAGGGAGCACCCGGCTCCTCCCTGGAGATTTAGAGTTGCGTCAGTCCATTTGCCTGTGGACCTCCTTCCTTCCTCTCAGTGGTTTCTTCTGGGTGGATCTGACCTGCCCAGTTACCCTGAACTCCAGAGAGAGGGCCAGTGAGGGGCCACTACTGGCCATGTGTGTGTGGGGTTCTTGATGGGTAAGATGGATCGAGGGTTGACCATGGCAAGAGTCAGCAGCTCCCCTAAGCCCAGAGCTTTGGTCAACTCAGGGTCATCCACAACCAGAGAGGGCGGGCAATGGGGGATGGGCTGGTCGGGAGGAAAGGAGGGAGAGGACTCATGAGATTGGGGTGGATTTCAGCCCGCTGAGCTACCCCCCGGGGCTGGAGCTGTGCAGGGTGCTCCCCTACCCCTCATCCGCCCACCTCGGGAAGGATGGCGTGTCTCATGCTGCAGACGGGTCCTCCAGGGCAGGCCTGGGAGGGGTGCCCGATCAGGGTGGGTTGGGACCCTGGGGCTGGGTTGAGTCTCGGAGCAGGTACTCCTGGGTCTCTATGCTATGGAGCTGGCAGTCAACAGGAAGTGAGTCCCAGGGTGAGAAGAGGCCGTGTGGTCCCCGGGCAGGAAGTGAGTGACAGCGGAGTTGTCTGAGCAGTTTGTGGGGCTGGGAGCCTGCCTCGACTTGAGGTGTCTGTGGGGAAGCAAGTGGCTAGAGGAAAGGAGGACCACGGCCATGGTAAGAGATTGGCGCTGACCCAAACTTCTCAGCCTGCGTTGGCCAGCGGGATCCCCGACCCACCTCCCTGGGAGTGACGCGTTTGGGGCTCTGTGGTGCTGGCACAGCCGGGCCTGAGGGTAGCAGTGGGGGCCCAGGTGTGCCTGGCTCTCTGGGTTGCCTGGGCCACCTGACCCTCTCACACACAGGAGCCTCGAGGAATGAGAGGATTTATCCAGGGAGGGGAATTCTAGGCCAGGGAGCCTGCTGGCTTGAGCAGGGAGGTGGGAAAGACCTTCTGAGTCCTGAACAGGGTGTGTGGGTCCTGACACCTGGGGATGGCAGCTGAAGAGAGAGACAGGGCCTGGCTGCTCCCCTGGCCCTCCTGCGTTTGGCCTCCTGGCTCTGCCGGCTTCGGCCCCGAGTGCCCAACCCTAGTGGAGGACTTCTCCCTTCCGCCAGAGGCCAGAGGCCTCGTCTTCCTCTTGCTGCGGCCCCCACCCCTGCTGCTGAGCCGCGCACACGTTTGTAGCTTTCTGCGGGAGGTTTTCTTCCTGGAAGCAGGCCTGCCCCCGGCCGTCCCACACAGCCCTCCACACGGCCAGGAGAGCAGGCTGGCAAGGCCGCGCGTTCCCTCTGCTCGCCCTCAGCTTCTCCGTGTAGGGACTCGTCCAGGGAGGACGCTGGTTTTTATTTTTGTTATTTTTTAACAAGGCCCACGTCCCTATTCGCCGCCTCGGGGGTTTCCTCACCATACAGCAGTGGGCTCAGAGTTGAGATCGTAGATCCTTGGAGCAGAAGCAGCCTTGAAGACTGCCGGGCCTTGCAGGGAGGGTCTGGGGAAACCAGCGCTCTCTCAGGCTTTGGGGGGTGCTTCAGGGACACAACTCTCTGGAGGGAATTTGGCAGGATCTACTCACACGTGGATGGGCAGGCCCTCTCCCCCCGGCCAGGCCACTTCTGGGACTCTGGCATACAGAAATCCACCGGTGCACAGAGCTGTTAAGTGCAAGGGGTTCACTGCAGGAGAAAGCAAACCAGCCCAAAGGCCCACCATTAGGAGATGGTTGGAATAAATTAAGGAGCATCCATTCGATAGAATGCTGAGCAGCTGAGACAGAATGAGCCCGATCCATACGCACTGGTATGGAGAGATGCCCGCTGTGCTTGCTAAGTGAAAAAGCAAGTTGCAGAACAGGATAAGTCGTATGATCCCTTCTTAGGGGAAAAAAAAACCTGGATCTGGATGTGTGTATAAATACATGTGTATAAACATGTAACTTACACATGATTGTAGATGCATAGAAAAAAAGTCGAGAAAAGCTACTTGCCAAACTGTTAACAAGCAATTTAAAAAAATCTTTTCTTAAATTTATTTATTTAGTTTTTGGCTGCACTGGGTCTTCGTTGCTGCGCGCGGGCTTTCTCAAGTTGCGGCGAGCGGGGGCTACTCTTCGTTGCGGTGCGCGGGCTTCTCAGTACAGTGGCTTCTCTTGTTGCCGAGCACAGGCTCTAGAGCGCGCGGGCTTCAGTAGTTGCGGCACGCAGGCTCAGTAGTTGTGGCACGCAGGCTCCAGAGTGCAGGCTCGGTAGTTGTGGTGCACGGGCTTAGTTGCTCCGCGGCATGTGGGATCCTCCCGGACCAGGGCTCGAACCCGTGTCCCCTGCATTGGCAGGCGGATTCTTAACCACTGCGCCACCAGGGAAGCCCCAAACTGTTAATAACGGCTCACCTGTGGGGAGTGATTTTGGAGGCACAGAAGTGAAATAGGAGCTTTAACCTTTTAATACTACTCACTTTTGTGTGGTTTGAGTTTTTATAATATGTGTGTCTGACTTTTATAAACAGAAAAAAAACTTGAAAAGAAGGAAACCCTCCATTGGTCTAGCCTAGTCATCTCACCTTACAGGTGGGGAAACTGAGGCGCCCTCTTGAGCGGCGCCTTCCTGAGGTGTTTGCTGAGCTGGTGCCGCTCCCGCCCTTCTCCAGGCGGCTGACCTGCAGGGGAGCCGATGGGTAGGGCTGCTGGGGGCGGCCTGGTGCCCGCGGATGTGGCAGAGCGCCAAGTATAGGGGACTCTTGTCTCTCCTGCCCCAAGAGGACACCTTCGTTCCTTCTGCTGTGTCCTGGCCTACCTGCCCCCAGATGGCCAAGGACCAAGTGCTGGCCACGCTCTGTCCTCACAAAGTGTGTGGCCTCAAGCTAATCACAAAATTCTCTGAGAGCCTCCCCAGGGAGGTCGAGCGGCTCTGAGGGGTAACGGGTGAGGAGCTTTTGCCCACCATGCAGTGACACTTATGAAGGACGGTTATGACAACTCTCAGTGTGATTCTTGTAGCAAGCTCAGTTCTGAGACTCTTGGGAACAAAGCAAGACACTTCCTCTTGGAGGGGAGCGTGGCGCCGCGTGCTAGGGAGGGTTCCTGCAGAGACTGCGGTTGCTGGCTGGGGCCTTGGCTCTCCTGGGGTCTGAGCGCCCAGGAAAAGCTGTGGGCCAAAGCCGAGGGAGGGACCTGTGCTAGGCTTTGGGGCCCAGAGGAGGCCCTCTTTCACCCTTACACTCCACCTGGCCAGGCAGCAGCTCGAGAGACCAAGAGGACAGCCAGGGGGGCTCTGGCACAGAAGTCAGATCAGCCCGGGGTTATTAGAATCTTCTGAGGAGGGGTCCTGGTTTGAAGTAGGGATAGTGTGAGGAGCATCTGTTTTCAGTAGAGGCCACAGAGAAGACTTGGGCACCCTCTGTCACCTCAGTGAGTGGGGATGGCCTGGCTGGGGCGCAGCTGGCAGTGGGACCAGGCTGTTAAACCTGCTCGGCTTCTTCTCCCGTTTTCTTAACTGGAGTCCACAGACCTCTTGACTTCAGGGGGTCAGGCCTGTGAACCCCTTGAATCTGAGAGGACAACTGTGAGTGTATTTGACTCCATAAACATTTATGTGAACACAGTTTTCTGGACAGCGGGTGTATAATTTTCACCGGAATCTCAGATGGGTCAGTGATGCAAAAGGGGCTAAAACCACTGGTCTTAATTCTCCCCTCACGTTTATCTTTCCAGGTGGAAAGCAGTGACACGCCGAAGGACCCCGCCGTGACCTCCAAGTCCCCGTCCATGGCCCAAGACTCAGGCCCCTCAGAGCTGTTACCCAACGGGGACTTGGAGAAGCGGAGTGAGCCCCAGCCAGAGGAGGGGAGCCCCGCTGGGGGGCAGAAGGGCGGGGCCCCAGCAGAGGGAGAGGGTGCAGCTGAGACCCCGCCCGAAGCCTCCAGAGCCGTGGAGAATGGCTGCTGCACCCCCAAGGATGGCCGGGGAGCCCCTGCAGAAGAGGGTAAGTCCTGGGCAAAAGCAGGGCAGCCTCTGCTGGGCTGGCTGGGATCCCCCTGAGGGTTAGAACCTCGGGGCTTAGTGGGTCCCAGGAGGCCTGGGCTGGGCACGGTAGCGGAAGGTCTGCTTGCCAAAGCTGTGCCCTGCAGGCTGGATACAGCCTGCACACATTTTTGATTTGGCCCATGTAGTATTTTAAACATTAAAAAAAATGAGTTGCCAGTATTTAAGAATCAAGAAATTTCACATGAAAATCTGGAGTTTTGGCTTCTCATGGAAAAAAACAGCTAGATCTGGCAAGAGTGAGTTTACAGAATGCCATTGGTTGCCGGACTGCGGTGATGGCTGTCTCCCCATAGGCTGGTCGTGTGCCTCGCTTTCCCTCAGCCTTTGCCTGGCCTGCTTACTCTTCCGCAAGACCTGCGGCTCTTCGGGATCCACACGTTGGTAGCCCCTGGCTTGGGCGCTCGAGGGAGCAGATGTCCTTGTGGATATTAAAAGCCCAGCTAGCTTTTCCCGGTGCAGATGTCCTGAGCCCACCATAGTTGAGTGGACTGGACTGAAGTTTGGTGGTGACAGATTGGGGGAGGGGAAGAGCAGGGGGGGAGTTGGGTGTGCGCTGCCCAGCCCAGCCCAGGCCTCTTCCTCTGAGGACTTTGTGGCCTAGCCCTGGAGTCCTGGAAAGTTGCCCACTTTTCTCTTTAAGGTTAAGCCAGGGATTTCGGGGCCAACAGAGCTGTAAACATGTTAGTAATGAGGACAACTAGCATTTGTACAGGGCTTCACAGTTTACGAAGCACTTTCTCATACATTATCACATTTGATCCTCCCAGGGCCCTGCCAGGTTGTTTAGCATATGTGCATTTTAATTTCAAAAAGCCTTCCTTCCTAAGTGTACATGATGGAGTGAATCAATCGATTAATTGGCATAACTTAATTTTGCATGCATTCAAACCTAATATTCGTGCAAGGTAGAGAGCATCTCCGGAAAAGAGATTCCCAAATTTATTTTAAAATATCTTTCATTCGTCTATTATTCAACTAATATTTATGACGCTCCCACCATGTGCAAAGCGCTTTCTGAGGTACTCACTCTGCATTTGTTGTTTTATTTACTCTTCCAAACAATCTTCTTCAAGAGGGATTACTATCCTCATCTTAAGGTGGAAAAAAATTGAGCCTTAACGAGATGAAGTGACTTGGTCAGGGACCCCAAGCCTGTCAGTGGCAGATGCAGAATTCGTTCCATCTTGGTCTCTAGCTTCCGAGTCGGTGTGCCCTTCCCAGATCCCCCGCTGTTCTGGAGTGGGGCTTGGAGTGGGGGATGGTCCTGAACTCTGCACCTCCGGGGGTGTGTCCTGACTCGTGGTGGGAGTGGCCAAGGGGCCAGAGTGGAGTGAAACTGGAGGAGTGGGAGAAAACGCCATCCTCCCCTTACAACGGCCAGATGTGCAAGAGCAGAACCGGGGAACCCATCGGCCCTTCCCACCAAGTAGGCAGCTCCTGGGGCCCCACCATGGCTTGCTCCCAGCCGCCACCCAGGGCCAGGGCAGCCCTTGCTGCCTGGTGGGATGGAACCAGCACTCCAAGGCTGCTCTTAACCCGTGAGAGTTTGCTTTCGGTTTGGGATTTCCCCGGCTCTGTTCGTTCTCAGGAGGAACTCCTTCGGTCAGTGAACAGGGGTTTATTAAACACCCATTTGGTGTGTGCCGGGATCTGGGGAAACCATCACGAGCAAAAACCTGGTTCTTGTCCTGGAGGACCTCCCAGTCCACTGGAGAGATAGATGTTAATGAGAAATGCACACTTACAAGTGTGTGATTATACACGGAGATAAGTTCTCTAAGGGAAAATAAACATGGCTTTCTGAGGAGCTGTAACAGAGGAACGCCAGCCAGCCTGGGCTGTTACACCTAAGCTGAAGGATGAGCTGGGGATCACCAGGGAAGGTGAAGGGCCGGGAGGAGGTGAGAACAAGTGGGAGGGAGCATGGTATCCAGGGACCTGACAGAAACCTACAAGTCTGGAATGGGGGGGAGGAAGGGAGAAAGGTGTGCGACAGCAGACAGGACCAGCGCAGCTTCAAGGCTGCCCTCTCAGGGGTTGACGTGGTCCGCTTTGCATTTTTAACAGATCCCTTTGCCGTCTGGATCCTGGAATGGAACAGAGGGGCTGGGAAGCAGGACGAGCGGTTAGGAGGCTGCCGCAGGCGCCCAGGGGAGGAGGGTGGATCTGGGGAGCTGTGGATGCGTGCCACGGACACAAGGGGGAAGGGGAGAGATGGTTCAAGGGTTACTCCTGGGTTTGGGACTTTCACATATTGAGCGGATCCTTCTCAGAATCTTAGTGCAAAGTGCACTGGGCAAAAACATCCCACGTGTCCTTGATCTTCAAAATTTGGCCCTGGAGCAGTCCTGTGTGGCCCCAGCTATTCAGGTAGTGGGGATGCTGGCAGGGATCAGAGCTGGGATCCCTAAAGGTCACTGTGAATTGCCTGGTTGCTGAGACTGGTGAGCTGTTACCTAGAGGGGTGGGCAGTGGCCTACTGGAGGCTCGGCCACTGGTCCAGCAGTCAGCCACATAGAACACATATGCAGCTTCTTGGTTCCAAGGAGGAAGGAGGCTGAGGCCCCAGGGTGGAAGTGAATTGGCCATGGTCTCCTTTCGGTTCCCCTCATTCCAGGTCTCTTTTCAGGGGCCCCATCCGTCTGTCCCGGAGCCACTCTCATTAGTTCCTACACAGGAGAAATGGAGGGCTTTAAGGCAGTCTTGGCCTGGGCACCCTCCCAGGAGCCCCAGATCTTGATAGTACAACCAGGAGAAAGGAAGAGCAGAGGAGATGAGTAATAAAGGACAAGAGCCACCTGGACAGGCAGGTGGTGGCCCTGGAACTGCTCCTGCACTCTTAGCACTGAGGCCGTCATGATGATAGTAGTAACGATGGTAATGTGGCTTTCTTTTTTATTTTATTTTATCTTATTTATTTTATTTTTTCTGAATATTAACTATGTGTTGAGTGTTCTATGTCCTTACTACTCAAAGTGGTCCATGGACAGCAGCGTCTCCTGGCATGACCTGGGATGTTAGAAATGTAGAATCTCAGGCCCCACCCTAGACCTACTGAATCAGAATCTACATTTGAAAGAGATCCTCATGATTTCAATGCATATTAAACTTTGCTGTTTATGTAATTCTCTTATTTAATCCTTGCTAGCATCTGAGGAAGACTTTTTTACCCCCCCCCCCATTTTTCAGGTGGGGAGACTGAGGGTTCAGACAGGTTAAGTAACTTACCGAGATTATACAACCAGTAAAGGACCAGCGCCCGAGTAGGGTCAGTACAAAGCTCCTCTCTGCTTAGACAGAACACGCAGCATTGGGCTAGTGGCTGCCCTCTGAGGCCAGCCTGGCCTCAGCCCTGTCATTGAGATTTGGGTTCACTTTAAAGGGAATTTGGGGGTGGCCCCTGGCAGAGTGTAGCCTCAGACCAACAGGTAAGTGTTAGAAGCACCCTGGCCTCTCCTGCCCCCAGGACATGAGATGCCCCAGGGTCATGTCCAAGCCTGCCAGGGCCACCCTGGAAGGCACACAGCCACCTGGCCCAGCCTGTGACCCTGGATCTGGGCCAGGAGCAGATGGACTGCAGAGGGAGTGTCGAGAGAGCCGCTGACCCCCCTTGACTCAGGACAAGTGCTGCATTCTAAGGCCGCCCAGTTGGTTGTTTTGCTGGGACGGGCTGGAAAGTGTGTGTGTGTGTGTGTGTGTGTGTGTGTGTGTGAGAGAGAGAGAGAGAGAGAGAGAGTGAGAGGGAGATCACTCAAGTGGGCATGCGCAGAGTATGTCAGGGAGAAAATTCCAGAAAGAAGCCAGTTGGAAACCGCATGAGGAAAAATTCTGTTTCGGGGAGCATGGGGGCTGGGGAATGAGGAAGGGGGGGAGCATCAAGGTGGTGCCGTGTAAAATAAGCTAGCCGGCTTGGGAGTCAGGAGCTCTGAAATCTGATCTCAGCTCTGGCAGTACGTCTCTCTGCTCCTGGGGCCTCAGTTTCCCCTTCGAAGGGCTGGACAAGTACCCCATCATCTCTACAATTCCTTCAGCCCCGACTTTCTTTCATTCTAATGAATAGATGATTCCCCGTAAACCACATGCCACGGAGGGTCCCGGAAGGAAGGTCCCAGGGGGCACCAGGCTGCCTCCTGATTCAAGGGTGGGCGCCCCCTCCTGGCAGCCCAAAGCCTCACTAGGGCAGAACGCGGAGGATCTGAGAGGAGGGGCGACCCCCGGGAAGGAGGGAGGCCCGGAGCGGGCAAGAGGGGAAGCCTGGCTCCAGGATGCCCGAGAAAAAGTTGGGGAGCTGGCTGTGGTGAGACAAGAGGGCCTAAAGGAAGCTCGAGGAGGAGACAGAGAAAGTCCGGTGAGACGTAAAGGCCTGCTGTGTACACAGCCTTGGCGAGTACACGTGACCCCCACTTCCTCCCGCCCCTGGGGGCAGCTGGCACCGCGGGGTCCACACCTTCCACTTGCCCGCAGGTGCTGGCCCTGCCCTCCCCGTCCCCAGGTTCCAGGTCGCCAAAGCCCAGAGCAGAGCCCCGGGTCTTCCCCAGTGAGAGAGGGGGAAAGAAACATCCTCTTCGGGGACCGAGGATTCAGAGACCTTCAGTGCTGTAGCTGGTTTCCGCCTCAGAGCCAGGAGATGCAGGAGGGGCTGTTTTTTCCGTTTTGGGCTCTTTGTCTCCCCTTCACACCCCCCTCCCCGCCCCCCCAAGCGACCATGAGCCAGCCTTAGTGACCTTCCTGCTTTGGGCCCAAGCTCAGTACTCTTGGCTTCAGACAAAGGAGTTCTGGGGCCCAGGTGAGAGGAGGCTCACCTCCCACTCTCCTCACCCCCCAGCCCAGCCCCGTCCTCCAGCAGGAAGCTCAGAGGCATAATTAACCCAGCCTACAGCCAGGCCAGGACTGCAGACTCCGGGATGTGATGGCCCGGGAAGGGCGTTTGAGAGGTGACGACCCTGAGCTGGGTGGGGTAGGAGAGTGGGTAGGTACCAGGGTAGGAGCACAGGGACATTCTGTGCCCCCCGCCCCAGACCCTTAAAGACGGTACTGCTGGGGCTTCAGCCTCCGGGGGAGCCTTCCCTTCCAGGAACTGGAATCAGGGCCCATTGAGGAACTGCAGGGAAGAGGAGCAGGGAAACGCTGCCTTCCGGAAGCATTAGAAGGGCTGTGTACCTTGATTCAGTGAAGAAAAGGCCTGGAAAGCTTACAAAGGTCACGTGGAGACAGTTGGAATCCAAGGCTCCTAGAGCAAAGGCTGAACTCAGGGACCTGAGAAGGGGCGGAGCGTGGGGTACCGAGGCAGACATTCATGACAGAGGCGCAATGTTGACAGCTTGAGGAGCACCTTAGAAACCACTTCCAGCATCTTTATTTTCCAGATGAGGAAACTGAGTCTCAAAGAGACGAAGTTGTTTCAGCAGAGTCTTGCTGCTGTCTCCCTGTGCCCTCCCCCTCCCCCTAGAGCATCTTTGCTGCACCCCACACATACAAGCCAGTGCTCCCTTCCAGGGCCAGGGAGGGCTGTGCAGTCTGGCCCCTCCTCTGGGAAGGGAGCTGTGTCGCAACTGGGAGCAGCCAAGGGGGCTATTTCCGGGTCCCTTCTGGGTGCCTGAGGCACTCGATGGGCCAGGAGCCACAGTGCTGGCTTTTCTGTTGTTCCTTCGGATTTGGGCCTCCAGCCCTGCCCCAGTCCTTTTTCTGCCCTGGCTGTGCTCTGAGTCCTGGGGCCAGCATGACGCCTGGCACACAGTAGGCCATCAGGTTTGACACAGGAATGACTAAACGGTTGGAGAAGCCCTATCCCCGTGGCAGGGACCCCAGGCACAAGGTGAGGCCTCCGAGCCACTCCTGTAACTCTGCCGACAGTCCCTTTGTTCTTCCCTCTCCACAGGCAAAGAACAGAAGGAGACCAACATCGAATCCATGAAAATGGAGGCAAGTGTTTTCCTCAACCCCCAGGGGCTCTGTGGATCCTGATTCTAGGAGAAGAAAGCCACCGCTCTGACCGACTGTGGCGAGTGTGTGTGAGGGGGCCCAAGGTGGCCCCTGGCCCCTTCTTTACATGTCCCTCTGTGAGGAGCAGAGGAAGTGGGTGTGGAGGTTGGAAGGCCCCCAGCGAGGCAGCCAGCTGGTCCCCCTTCAAGACCAAGCACCTCCCCTCCCAGTTTATGTCCTGCCCCACATCCCTCACTTCTCCAGCCCAGACAGGGGCTTGGCCCGCACTCGCAGGGCTGGCATCTCTGGCCAGGAGTCAGAGCTCTGTGTTCTGCTCGAGGTGAGTGCCTCCTTGGTTTCCCCTCCAGGAGGAAAAAACCCTGCAGCGGGGCTGTCCGTGCTCACCTTAATGCCGGTCTGTCTCTGTCGTCTCTGTCCTAGGGCTCCCGGGGCCGGCTGCGGGGTGGCCTGGGCTGGGAGTCCAGCCTCCGCCAGCGGCCCATGCCGCGGCTCACCTTCCAGGCGGGGGACCCCTACTACATCAGCAAGCGCAAGCGGGACGAGTGGCTGGCACGCTGGAAAAGGGAGGTGAGGTGCCTTCTGGCCTGGGCCCCAGCCTGTCCCACGGAACTGGGAAACCGGAAGTTAGCTTCAGCCACTGTCTGCAGCTGTTGTCAGGCCCTGGCTGAGCCTCAGTTTCCCCTTCAGGTTAACCTCTCGCACTTACAGGGCACTGCTGGATCCCTAGGCAGTGGCTGGGTCCTTTGTTCTTTCAACAAATGTTATTGGACATTTACCGTGTAACCAGGCAGTGTCCTGGGCTTTGCGCGTATAGAATTCCTGCCCTCATGGAGCTGACATTCTGATGGGGAAGATGGACAGGAAACAAGTAAACAGGGGGTTGAAATAGAGGTTAACAGAGGCCTGCTTTAGGTGGGGTGGTCAGGAGAGGCTTCTTGGAGGAGGTGGCATTTAAGTTCAGGCCTAAAGGAACAGAAGAGCTGGCTCTGTGAGTTGTGGGGTGGGGGAGAACATTCTAGGCAGAGGAAATAGCACAAGCGAGGCCCTGACTTGTTTGGCTACGTGAAAGACCGATACTCCCAGAGTGAACCGAGCAGGGGAGAAAGTGGGGTCAGATGAAGCTGGGCGGTAAGCAGGGTCCAGTCCTACAGGGCCTTGAGGTCCCGGCCGAAAGCTGTTTTTTTGTTTGTTTGTTTGTTTTATAAATTTATTTATTTATTTATTTTTGGCTGCGTTGCTGCACGGGCTTTCTCTAGTTGCGGCGAGCGGGGGCTGCTCTTTGCTGTGGTGCCCGGGCTCCTTCTCATTGTGGTGACTTCTCTTGTTGCGGAGCACGCAGGCTCAGTAGTTGTGGCTCGCGGGCTCTAGAGCGCAGGCTCAGTAGTTGTGGCGCATGGGCTTAGTTGCTCCGCGGCATGTGGGATCTTCCCGGACCAGGACTTGAACCCGTGTCCCCTGCATTGGCAGGTGGATTCTTAACCACTGCGCCGCCACCGGGGAAGCTGCCCCGAAAGCTGGTTTAACGCTGTGTCCTGGGAAGCCATTGAAGGTTTCTATGCAGGGGAGTGATTTGATGTGGATTAAAGGAGCAGCAATGGAGGCAGATAGGGACAGATCCGGAGATTTAGAGATAGAAACAGCAGGGCTTGCTGATGGATGGCCGGGGTGGGGGAGGGGAGGGAATGGAAGCACGACTCCCAGGGGTTTGGCCTGAACACCTGGGTGATGGGTGTGCTACTTCCTTAGGTGGGGAAGACTAGGGGAGGAACGAGTTTGGGATGGGAAGGAATCAAGGTTTAGCCTGAGATGCTGAGGTGCCTGGAGCCTGGAGCATAGGGAGGTCCAGGCTGCAAATCAAAGATGAGAAGGCGTCAGGAGCAGAACCTGGCGTTTAAGTCCACGAACACTGATGAGCTCGTGTAGGAAACAGGAGGAGAAAGCAGAGACAGTGTCTCTGGATTCTGTCCACAAAAACCCGACACTTACAGCCACGTGGAGAGGGGGAATGGCAGCAGCAGGACTGAGAAGGGGCCTGGGAGGAAGAAGAGGGAGGAAGAGCCGTGTCTCAGAAAGGAGAAGGTTTTCCAGAGGCAGTGGCCGCCCAGCCCTGCGGAGGCTGAGTTGAGACAGGCTGTTTGCACCTGCCGATCTGGAGGTAGCTGGTGACTTTTAGAGAGGCTTCTGTGCGGGTTGGGAGGGAGAAAGCCAGCCCAGGGAGGGCTTCAGTAGCGAGGGGAGGTGATGCCGTGGAGACCAAGGGGCGAAACCAGTTTGCAAGCACCATTGTGCTCTCCTGTATGTCTGGTTAGCAGAGAGAAGCCTGTTGACCTACCGGCACCAGGAAGGGAAGGGAAACGCGAACTGCCACCACGTGGGGCCTTTCACCTTCACTCTCACTTGTCTTTACCCCAGGCCTGCAAAGGATGGTGTTATCCCGTTTGCATTGTGAGAGAACTTGCTCTAGAGAAAGTTCAGTACAGGGTGGGGTGGCTACTTGATTGTTTCCAGTTCCTTTGGGATCCAGGAAGGCAGAAATTTCTCTCGTGGAGGAGCCTGAAAAAGGGACAGCGTTTCCAAGGTCTGGGAGAAGAGAGGCTCGACTCTGAGCATTAAGCTGGTCTTTGGGATGGAAATTCATTCAGGACCTGGGGCTATTCCCCTGTGGCCTGTAGGAGGGGCTTTGCTTTTTAACCCCTTGTTATGAGTGGCCTGTATTTCTGCTCTCCCTTAGCCCTAGGGCCAGAGGCTAGATATAAAGACTTCTTTTTTTTTTCTTTAATATTTATTTGTTTATTTGGCTGCGCTGGGACTTTGTTGGTGCATGTGCGGGATCTTTTAGTTGCGGCATGTGGGCTCTAGTTCCCTGACCAGGCATGGAACCCGGGCCCCCTGCATTGGGAGCGCAGAGTGTTAACCACTGGACCACCAGGGAAGTCCCTAGATACAAAGACTTTTACGCTTGAAGAGCTTCTAGAAATTTGGTGATCCTCAAACTGTGCTCCCTTGAAGAAGCAGTATGGAGGCCTGCTCTCAGTTGCAATAAAAAAGGCAGGTTTTTTCTCAACTCACAGGGAAAAGTAAGATAATAGATACATTTTCTCAATTTTAAAATTTCCACTAAAATTTAAAAAGACTTTTTTTTTTTATTATGAACCTGTTCTGACATAGACAGAAATAGAGAGACTAGTATAATGAACCCCCGTGTACCTATCACCAAAGTGCAACAACCATTAAAAGCTTTTCTAGAAAAAAGAAACCTTTGGCATCTGCTTCCCCCAACTGATAAAGGTCATCAGTGAGCGTGAACAGAAAAACTTTAAAGTTGATTTAATTTACAATATTTTAGGGATGCGTGACTTGAGATGTAGAGACTTGCACCCAGAATATATTTTCTGTTAGTAACGTTGTTCCTTGTTCGTATGATACAACTCAAGATTTCCACGACTTCCGGTACAAGCGCTAGAACCCTTGAGCCCGTTATTTCAGACTAGGGGCTGGGGCTGCAGTTACGAGCTGGCCACAAGCTTACTCAGGGCACAGGGAAGGGGCTGGAATGGGATTGAGTTCAGGCTGCTACTGCCACGTGGGGGCCATCCCCAGAGACCACACCCGCCCCTCTTGGGCTCTGCCAGGGCACTAGGGAAGGGCTAGCTACAGGTAACAAGAGCATTGGGGAGGACTTCCCCGGCAGTCCAGTGGTTAAGACTCTGTGCTTCCACTGCAGGGGGCTCGGGTTTGATCCCTGGCCAAGGAACTAAGATCCCACATGCCTTGCGGCCAGAAAGAACCATGGGGAAACACAGGTAGCTCCCGAGATTCCCAAGTGCCCCTCAGGCTAAAGGGCAGTAACTGTCTTCACCAGGCCTGTTTTCTGAGTGGCTTACCGAGCGGAGAGAAATCCGTCCTCCTCTTGCGGTTTCCCCTTAGTTATCTGGCACTTGGCCCTTTCTTCTGAAACTGCCTCACTAGGCCTTTCTGACCTCGTCCCCAAGATTCTTCCCATCTCCTCCAACTGCACCTTCTTAGCATCCTCCTCTGTCCCTTGACTGTGGCACCCCCAGATGTCTGCTCCCTCCCTTGACTGTGGCACCCCCAGATGTCTGCTCCCTCCCTTGACTGTGGCACCCCCAGATGTCTGCTCCCTCCTTGACTGTGGCACTCCCAGATGTCTGCTCCCTCCCTTGATAGTGGCACCCCCAGATGTCTGCTCCCACCCTCAGCCAGTCTTTAAAGACCTTTTTTTTTTTTTTTTTTGGTTGTGTTGGGTCTTCATTGCTGCGCGTGGGCTTTCTCTAGTTGTGCTGAGCGGGGGCTACTCTTCCTTGTGGCGCGCAGGCTTCTCATTGTGGTGGCTTCTCTTGTTGCGGAGCACGGGCTCTAGGCATGCAGGCTTCAGTAGTTGTGACTCTTGGCCTCTAGAGCGCAGGCTCAGTAGTTGTGGTGCAGGGGCTTAGTTGCTTCATGGCATGTGGGATCTTCCTGGACCAGGGATCGAACCCGTGTCCCCTGCATTGGCAGGCGGATTCTTAACTACTGCATCACCAGGGAAGTCCCCTCAGCCAGTCTTGCTCCCCTTACCACTTGTGTGCTCTCATAGATCCTACTCCCAAAAAAGACACATTCCCTACTGCCGAATACAAGCTATTTCCCAGACTATGCCACTGGGAGGTTCCGCCAGCATTTCCAAACCTCAGAATGTGATGCCTGCCCTTTGAAGTTCCTGCAGGGCACCATCATTGAGCCGACAGTCAGAACCCTCCCTGTCTGAGTGCCCAGTAAGATACTGGAGCTACCAGAAGCCTAGGGGATTCCTGGTTATCCTATGACAAGGGCGAGGGATCGGGCACCTCAGGAAGAGCATCACCAAGGGCCTTAGACTAATTCTGCCTGGGGTCATCCTCAAATCAGCAAGAGTTGGCTTTTGGCTTTTAAAGGATGAACTTGAATTTAGGGAAGCGGGAGGAAAGGCACTGCAGAAAGAGACATACAGCATGTGCAAAGGTTCGGAGGCACAAGACAGTGTGGCCTTTTCAGGAATGGAAGTTCATGGTGGTGGGTGATGGAGCACAGGGTGCCGGTGCTGGGCTTAGAGCAGCAGGAGTGTGTCTGGGAAGCTGGGCGGGGCCTGAGGGCCTGTGTGCCCTGCTGTGGTGCTTCACCTGATCCTAGTTTGCACCTGGTCCACATGCCCCACCTGTAGGGCCTTCTTCCCTCAAAACATCCCCCTCAGCTTAGTTTCCTTTTCCCGTGACCACCCTTGTCGGTCCACAGTTACTGAGTGAGGTCTGCTCTTTACTGCGCTGTCCATCTGAGATTATCTGCCTCCCCAGGCTTTAAAAAAGAAATTAAGAAGACTTAGAATATCACAAATGAATGAAATTTTAAATAATTGGATGAGGAAAATGGGGCATTTCCTCCTTCGCTGAGGCTGAAGTGGGGATTCCTGCTGGAACTGGGATGCTGGTGTCTGTCCCATCTCCTATTCTCTGCATCTCTTTGCCAGTCCTTTTAAGGATTAATCTCTGCTTTAGTCATGACCAGGTCCTGCTACAAAACCAGCAATGGCT